GATTCCTTCAACCTCCATTAAAATGAGGGACGATGCGTGCGTTACTCCGAAGGCTGGTATCTCCTGCAGTGAAGCGAGCAAACTGATTATTGACCGTCGATCGGTTAGCAGTGCTAGCATTGAATAGATTGCTGATATTTCGAGCCGCCACACTCACGTTTTTTCCTTGGCGTGCTTAGCAAAAGGTGATTTTACAAATCGGGTGTTGTCCATTTATTGACCGTAATGCTGCGAAAGCCCACAGGCGTGCCCTTATTTACCCATGTGTTGATTGCCTGAGGAATGCCCTACAAGTCCATCACCCTTGCTACCGTGTTCACACTGTTGATACAAATTTTCAACGCTTCAAAATTTTTGTCGCAGGACTTTTTTGCCAACCTAATATATTACAGCAGAGCACGGAACATAACTCAGAAAAGAGCGTCTAAAAGTAGACCATCCAAAACGACAGAACTTTCTCAAACACCTAATTTTTACATCGTTTCTTGAAGTTAAATTTGCTTAAAAAATCCGCAATAATTATGCATCAACCTAATATCTTTCTCTTCGAAACACTAAATCAGGCCCGAATGAATTTAAGTACTGTGTGGTCCCAGGAGATCTTCTGGTTTTGCTATTCTAAAGGTTTTTTTTCGAAGAAGTGTACGTGTGGTGAATTCATTGAACAACTTCGAAAAATAAGATATTTCGAAAAGACGGTCGTCATTTACGCCATTATCGGCCAAATACAAAGCTGCAAAATTCGGCAACAGTCAAATATTTGGGGCGTATCGATCAGCGGCAGATGCCGGCATCAGCGTTCTGAGTCGAAGTCAGCGTTTCTTTAGTGTTATGATTTCAATCGCAAGTGACTGCAATTTCGTTTAAACATCTCTTTGCTTGTCATAATCTCATACAGTCCTGTGGAATGACTACTTTTCAGGAGTCTAATATTTCACAAATGCTGCGTATTTTCTTGCTTTTACCGTTGTCCATGTACTCTTATGCACCAAACCTCCGTTGATGGTAACACTAACTGTGCCCCTCCACGCCAAAGTGGCAGTTGCAGTCAAGGTGCAATCCGGTGTGCGAATCCTTACATTGAAGAGAAATTGGTGTCTTCTCATGAGACGCCTAGCCAAAGTCTATGAAAGATGTAAGTCAGCGAGGGAAGGAGAGGTCGCAGTCTAGGAGGTGAAGTGGACGCGGCGTGCTATCACGCGCGTAAGGTCAGAATTTCGGTTACGGTATACTCGTATGAAAGGATAACGGCTCTGACTTGTACATGGGCTGGCCACCGCATGTCATTGTATGCATAAGCCAAATGCAAATTTAATATTCCACTATGACCTCATGTAGAAGTTGAATGCGGAGGCGCACTCCTCAGACAGGTATGATTAACGCCAAAGGACTATTCTTTCATGATCTCACCGCCATAAATTCACAACCACTTAAAAATTAGAGTAGGTCTCCTGGTCATCTTGTACTCACCAGCACTTTCTAGATGGATCCTACCAGATGGATGGCATGAAAATTTTTATTCTAGCATAAATACGTCTGACGTCAAGTCATGAATACAGTAGTAGCTATCCAACGATGAAGACCTATGCTGACGTGATAGGAGTACATTATGACTTTCACTGCAAGAAGTATATATCTAACCGATGGGATCGCCCGTCTCACGCTACATTTCCCCTTTCCTAACGAA